ATTCTTCACAAGCCCAGCACACTCCATGTGGAGCCGTACAAGGGCTCTTGGAGGGCTTTCGGTTGCAGGGTCTATAGGGTTTAGAAGGGTATGTTCGAGGTGTTAGGGCTTTAGGCTTAGGGGATCAGGGTTTAGTGTTAGGGTTGTGAGTTCCCTAAACCCTAACCCCTAAGGCGTGGTTTGTGATCCTTCCAAAATTCAGGCGCAGTGACGATAAAGACCGAAGAGACGCAGATCTCAAGGTCAGAGTGCCCTAAACCCTGAATCCGGGTTTAGGGTTTAGGTTAAGGGGCTTAGGGTTTAGGGGCATCAGAAGCTGTACCCGAAACGCTACACCGCCAAATTTCATAAATGGTAGCAGCAGTCCTGACTCAAGCTTCAAACCCCAAAAACCAAGCCTTAGTAATCGAAAGAAGTAATCATAGCCCTAAAGGTCCAGGTACGTGCTAGCCGTATACTCCCGCCAATACCAACAGGACCTTATGAACAACTTCTTCGAACCTTGATACAGCACCCGAGCAGAATCCTCGCAGAACTCCTTAATATTGGAGGTCTGACTAATGAGAGAACATCCCTTCATATGCCGACAGAAAGATACTGCAATACCGCAATATACCCCCAACACTCTTCTAAGTATTGAGGCCTATGTTTGGGTCCTGAGGACCCTGCACCGTAAATAAAGCCTTGAGCCTTTGAGTCTTTTGCCCAGGCAACTTCTCCGCCGCTATGTGGACGAGCGATGCTCCATCAAACCCCCGAAAACAAGCGATGGTTGGGGATTTAGATTTGCAAAGTCTCTCTGAAGAGTCTAAAAAGTTTCAGAAAGGTTATAAAAAGGTTTTGTGGGGCTTTGGCTCTGATGCTCACGATCACGCTTTCGAGTTTAGGGTTTTAGGGTTTAGGGTTTAGGGTAAGCCTTGGGTCTGGCCCTTCAAAAGACCCGTGCATTGCCAGGAAGTAGTGCGGCCATGTGCATGTGGGAGTTCTCTAAAACTAGGATCCCTTTATGAGGGTGCCGTGCTATTTGGGAAACCCAAAAGGGACCCTATTTTAGAGAACTATCCATGTATGTATTTCATCTTCACATTCGCGATGCGGCTTGGCACGGCAACTCCGGACCCTGATCCCGAAGTTTCAACCATACCCCTAAACCCTAAAGCCTAAATCCTCAATCCCATGCAGAGCGGCTCAAGACACCAGTGTTGCAAGATATCGCACCATGGCTGCCGCAGATGCGGATGCGACTTTCCTGAACATGGTTTAGGGTTTAGGGCTTATCGGGTTTAGGGATTGGGTGTTAAGGGCTTTTAACTGAACATGGTTCAATCTGCGGCTCCAAGTACTCCCAAAACCATAAGGAACGGAAATAGACCACTTGGACCCCTATTGTCTCAGGGTTCTTCTCAAGGGCTTCGCAGTTTCAGGCTCCGGCGGCACGGAATGCATTGCTGTATTGTAGCTTGGTGTTGTGTAAATGAATAGGAAGGAACGTCGAGCTCGTAAACGAAAAGGGTGGTGTACTACCCTTTGGGCCGAAAACCTGTCGGCCGCAACTTCCTTAAATTCTTAAATCCTAATCCACAGGGCTGTTCTATTAGAACAGGGGTCACAAGTCGCAGCACATAGTCAGAAAGCGCCCGGCCACAAGATCAGCCCTGCATCCCACGGTCTAGCCCCACAACAAGAACCACAGCCATCTCCGCAAAATCAGCCCTAAACCCTAAAGCCCTAAACCCTACTGCTACCACCCCAGCCCCTCAACTCTTAACCCGAAAGTTTTACAGTTGGAATTCGAGTTTCAGTGTCTGCGGTTTGTTGGTACGTAGGTTCATGAAATGGGGCTTATCTTTGGGTCTTGCTGAGTGCCTATATGTAGGGCTCAATAGGAATATTGGTGACTTATGATGTTTCGTCCCGCTCTGAAGATCCGTTTTTCTGAAAACAGTAAATCCTAAGCCTACCAGGCACACCGACAGCACCGTGTCCTAAGCTTCCGGCGCTGAGGTGGCCGTTCTGTCGGTGAAGATTGCCAAGCAGCGCAAGCCTCGTCCACCGCAGCTGCCGAAGGCGCCAAGCACCCTAAACCCCAAGCACACTAAACGCTGAACCCCTAAGGGTCATTTGCTGATTGTGTAGAGGATAGCAAGCGCAGACCTGCGGCTAGGTTTTGAAGAGTCTTCATGCTGGAGCTTTAAACCCTAAACTTACCCCAAACCGTCAACCCTAAACCCTAAGCCCTAAACCCTTAAACCCCTAAAGCCCTAAACCCTAAAGCCCTAAACCCCTAAACCCTAAACCCTAATAGGCCCGAGACTGGGAGGTTGGTGGAGCTTTTGCCCAGGATTTTCATAGGCCTGAGGCTTGGGTTTGGAGGTTTTTGAGGCGTTTTGTCCAAGGACCTAGGCTGTAGGGTTCAGGATCTCGCGGATGAGTCTAGAGTTCATGGGGGTTTTGGGATCCAGATTGAGTTTAGGAGTCTCCTTGTGGCGTTGGCAGTCATGGGTCAGGTGTTGAGGCTTTGAGGCCTGAGGGTTTGGACGTTCTAACACACCTTCCGGAACCAAATGTACAAATCGAATGGCTCACACTCAAGCTTCATCGTCAGGAAAGCAGAAGCGGCTATCCTGCCGAGAGCCAGGAGCAAAGGGTTTAGGGTTCGGCGTTGAGAAGGTGGACAGTTGGTGGGTTGACGATTGGGCATCTGTGGCTGGACAAGGTGCCCAGTGAAGCCTCAAACCCCCTTGGAGTAACCTTATGTTACCCTTATAGCACCCTTGTAGAACCCGTAAGTTCATCACCATTAGAGTACTCTTATCGCACCCTGAGGCCCCTTACAGGTTCAGGTTCAGTTTCGCTGTGGTGAAGGGCTTTACTTATAGCCTTCATTATAGTTCATGTTTTTGGTCTTTCCAATTCTACGGTAAGGGTCCTGAAAGGCAACCCCCAAAAGTAACTACAACGGAGACTGTAGGTAATCGTTGTATTGGAAGCTCGCTGTCCTGAGGTCCTCCAGCGTTTTCAGATATGCTGGCAGGTCGGTCACCACCACTTCATGGCATGGTATCCTTCACTAGCCCTAAACCCCAAGCCCGAAACCCCAAGCCCTAAGCCCCAAGCCCTAAACCCTAAGCCCTAAACCCTAGGCCCTAAACCCTAGGCCCTAAACCCTATAGTTCCATCTTGAACTGATCACACACACACACACACACGCACACACACCGCAGGAGCCCGGCGGACCTCGGCAAGTAAAGCAAGAAGCGAGGAAGAAGATGGAGGCACCGGGGATTCAGGTTCAGGGCTTAGGGTTTATAGGGTTTCGGTTTCGGGTTTAGGGATTCAGCACGGCAACTATCGCTTTTGACATCGACATTTGTGCGGTTGTTCATTGCCATAGTACAGATCCCTGCTCTGCCGTGAGGCAGACAGGCTGACATGCGTAGGTAAAGCCCAAATCCAAAAGGGTCCATAGCCATAGTCCAAATATACTTTACTACTACGATGGAATTAGATCCCCCCAAACCCGAACACGGATGGTTTTTTGTTGGGCACCTACTTCCATAATTCCATAATGGTAAAATATATATATATATATTATGTATATATGCCCCTGATAATATGTCTCAACCCTCTCGGATGTTAAAGATGTCCAAGGGGAGCTCCAGGGTCCGGAAGCGGGGGGACCGTTGTAAATGTCTCGAAATTGGGCATTGTGAACTGCCGCTGTCTGCAGAAAGTGCTTGAAGTCACCACGCAATTAAACAAATCCTTGCATGTGCCTTTCTGCGACTTTCCGCCTTAATTCACGGACCCTGAAGCATGTCGATGTCGCCAGAAGTGTGCAGTGAAGCGCTGCTGTTTCTGTTTTCACAAGGCGGAACAGTGACCGAAAATCTACGCCCTGATGGCCTAAATGGGCCTAAATCCTGAAGCCTAAGCCCTCAGCCCTGAACCCCACCCTTAAGCGCTATAAACCCAATGCCTGGAGGTGAAGGATGAAGTCAAGGAAGAGGTGGAGGCAGATGCATGATTGGTCGTGTTTTTAGGGTTTTAGGGTTTAGGGTTTAGGGTTTTAGTTGTGGTTTCGCGCAAACATCTGCCACCAGCAATTTTCACTTGATGCTGCTATGCTGCTGCTATGCCAGCCCCAAACTTCGCAAAACGGAGGCCAAAAGCGCCAGCTCCACCTAGTGCTATCAAAACTTGATTCTCAAAACCGTACTGGGACGGTTTTGGTCGTGGCAGGAGACAGAAAGCAACACGGGCAGGGCAGTTGAGACCAAGCTGGAGCTCCCTAAACCCTAAACCCTGAAACCCTTAACCCTAAACCTAAACCCTAAACCCTAAACCTTAAACCCTAAACCTTAAACCTTAAACTCTAAACCCTAAACCCGAAAAAGCACCAAGGCCTGCAGGGTTTACTTTAGGATTTCGGAATTCAGGGTATACCTATAGTCTCCATTGTGGTTCCTATTTGATCCTAAAAGCTAACCCCGAAAAGGAACTACGATGGTAACTTCCGTTGCTTCCGCCTGTGAAAACCATGTTTTGGCCAGAAGCAGCCAGTTGTAACGAGTAGAGACTGTCAGACCTGGCAGCGGGTGTGGGTTGCAGGTGTCGGGTCCGTCAACCATGTTTGTCTGCTGATGATTCGAAACGAACCCTAAACCCTAAACCCTAAACTAAACTTCCTAAACACCGGTCGATGCTGAGTGTTTCAAACAAGTGCCAAAAAGTCGTGATAGTTGCAGTTTCGGCTCGCTCTTTTGACGGCAGTTGTAGCGCTGACGTAACTTAGAGTTTCGTTTAGGGTTTAGGGGTTTAGGGTTCAGGGTTTAGGGGTTTAGAGTTTTGCTATTCTGTGGGTCTTCAGTGCGAAGTTCAGGTTTCCGCCTCAGAGATTCAGAAACCTACAAGACTTTGACCGGTGGTTTGCGGCTCGGGCTTTAGCAACCCGGCACCGACATTGAAGCCGCTTGACTAGCACAGCGCGCCTGAAGGATATGAAAAGAGAAGTGAAGGAGGAGGCTTCGAAGGATGCGCAGAAGAAAGTGAAGACGGAGATCAAGCAAGAGTCGTCCAAGGATATCAAGGTGGAAGTCAAGGATGAGACGACACGGAAGGCTGATGGGATTCTGGGTGCTTCTCCTTCAGTTGTGAGACAGGGCGCTTCGGGTTGAAGGGAGTACCATTTTTGGATAGATGTTGCTGTCAGACCATGATGCTACTGCTAGTGCTTCAGTTCACTGTAATTACCCATGAATACGTACTGCAATGTTAGACAATCACCGTTCTTTTGTGCTCTTACTGTTTTATCTGTCCGGTGATTGAATTTAAGATCCCGGTTTCCTCAGCCCCAAACCTGGAACACTGACAGGGTTTACTTTCGCAAAGCTTTCTGGCTGAAGCTTGCGAATGAATCACCATCAGAGCCGACACAGTAGGCTTCAGGTTGAGGTGTAGCACTTAAGAGGTGAGGCCCAGCGCTTAGGCTTCAGGGTTTTAGGACCGAGGACTTCTAGGCTTCAGGTCATGATACTCAGATGTCAAGCTGTCACTGCTGTTTCGTGAAAGGGTGCGACCCAGCGGTTTCAGTTCCGACCGGGCTTCCGCGACGCTCCTAAACCCTAAACCATGAGTTTCGAGACCCTGCACAGTCTGAGTCGCATCCGTGGTTGACTAGCAGCAGACACGTGGCCGTATGTCGGCTCAGCGCGCTTGCAGGGTATGAAGCGGGTGAAGGAGGAGGTTTCGAAGGATGCAGATATGGAAGTGAAGGAAGAGAGCCACGAGGCGACGGAAGACACCGGGAAATGAGCTCGCAGCAATGAAGTATCCCTGGGGGATGAGAACATATTCAAACTGAAAAGGATGGATCAACCACGAAGATTGGAGTTATTGTCGGGATGATCACAATAACATACCCAGCATTCCCCCATCTGACAAGTGTTTCAGACATGTTTGCAGCTCGCAACAAGAAGCATGTTACTACATGAGTTCTTGGTTACACACGAAAAACAATCAGAACACATAGCACTGCACTGTAGACCCTACCAGAAATCCCAAATTCTGGTTTGCCCCAGCTCGGCTGCAGGGCTCGATGTTCCTGAACAGTCCACTGCTGCATCCTTCTTCAGTTGAAGCTTGGGGGGTGTGGTTGCATGGCCTTGGAACGAGTCTACCATGGAACAACACAATTATGCATGCTCAAAACGTTCTATGCTTTTGTCCCTTTCGTCCATCGACTTGGGGACTTATCCACGAGGTGCTGTCTGGTTGAAAGGCTGACATATGGATCTTTACCAACGCGGTCAGGTCCATTCCTGGATTCCCGGTTTAAACGTTTTAGTGGAGGTGTTGTCAGGCTTGACTTGTTCAGGTCTTCAACTCCTGTTCAAACCCTAAACCCCAAAGCCTATCCTGTCGCGGAGGCCGTCGGCTCTCGTCGAAGAATGCGCGCAAAGGCCGCCTGGAAAGATGATGAAAGATGCTGCAGATCCATGTGTAGAGGTGTCAGTACCAGAAGGCAAGGCCATCGTTTCCTAAGACCTAGATTCCTGCATGCTAGACCCGTTGGCTTCACGTGCACGAGGATTCCATGCTAGCTCTGGATTTCTAGGACTTGTCATTTGCAAGTGCGATCTTGCTTGGAAGGTTATGGCTGAGATCAAGCGTGAAGTGAAGCAGGAGGACCCCAGTTTGTGAGCATGTTTGCCAGCAAGGTTGACGTCGGGTCTGCATGTTGAGTTTCGGCTACGGGAACCCGGATCTTGAGATGTAGTTGGCTTGTTGGATTTGGAGCTGCTTGCTGTTTGTGGTTCCTTCGATGGCCGAGTCGTCAATCGTTTTATGACGAACAGCTCACACTGGCAGTACTGGTACTTCTGCTGATACTGTCGTCTCTATCCCCCTGTGTCAATTTCTGATTGGAATTGGAACTTGAAGTACGACGATATGAACAAACTCGGTCCAGTTGTTGACACCAGTTTTTTCGATGCGATGAAACTGTCGTGCTATTTATACCAGCAGTCTTACTGCCAATACTATGCACAGCGTGACCGGTCATGCTTATTTGGCAGCGCTGCATTTGGCTTGGGGCCTGGATGTTGGCATCCAGAGGCTAAGGAAGAGATCTGCAAGTGACAGTTTACAGGGTGCTGCAGGGCTTAACGTCTACACCTTGTGTTGTTCAGTTCAGTGTTTACAAGGCGGCAGGCTTCGTGCATCTTGGCGCTTTCATGGCGTCAAACCGGTGTCTAGGTCTGCAGGAGTCTGCAGAAGCATATCAATCAATCAGTCAGCTCTGCAGACAAATGCAACTGTCTTATGCACAATCTTTATCCATAGGCTCCATAGTCGTCCCTTTTTGCGGTCTATATTTAGGATCCTATAAGGTAATCCCAAAAAGCTGCAACTACTATGGATCCTATGGGTATCCTGTCTCCAATATCACAGAGGACATGACATCGCAAAGCGAGTCGCGGCTTGGCAGCGGTCAGGAACCTTATATGCCGCCAGTCTCTTGAGCGCGATACAGGACTAAGGATCATGGATCGAAGGCTCTTGATGTAACTGTGCTGTAAGTAAGATCTTAAGGTTTACGGTTTCGGGCTTCGGCCTTGCAGCTGTATCTTCGAGCCATGAAAGGGCTGCCAGGGGCTGGTCCCACCTGGCACTTGCGTAAGACCTGCACTCCTGCAGTGGAAGTCCGAAACCAGACACCCCTCTTTCAGCTAGTTCGCTTCAATGTTCAGGGACTTCCGGCCTTGTGCCTCAAGTTAGAGGCCTCAAGCATGCGGCGCAATCAGTGATTAGAGTCGGTTGGATGTTGTGCCTCTTCGATGCGGGTCTTAAGCTACATGTCGTTTATAATTTGCACTTTGTTCTGCTGTAGAACTCGCAATCGAACTCGCAATCGCGGCGCTGCTTTTTCTACTGGCTGTACTAACTTGCTTGCGGAGTTGTTGATGTGGCCTTCCAATTAAGGACTGGAGCAAAGCAGGAGAAAGTGGATGAGAAGCAGCAGGTACGAGTTAAGCAAGAGGACTTTGAGCAGCCTGGGCCGAAGAGGCGTCGATTGAGCCAGAAGAGTCCGGACGTCTTCGTTCCATCTTTCGAGTCGCGATTGACAGAGTGGGCCGAGAAATGCCTAGCATTTCAATCCTCTGGCAAGACGTGGCTGCCCACAAAGCCTTGCTGCCCGGCCAGCCCTTTTCTTGGATTGGCGGCAGCTCCGTGGCAAGGATGTGTAAGAGCACAGACAACAGCATGCGTGCAGCTCCTCGGCAAAGAGCAGTTCAGAGAGTTGCGCGACTTCTACGACGAGAATCCACACCATGCCCTTTTCCGTGACAACAGTGACCCAAGCAGCGAGCGACAGACAGACACCACTGTTGGATTTAGGCCGCAGGCCCACAGGAGCTCAACCGGCAATCAGCACCGAGCAGCTGAGTGCATGAAGATGTGGCCTTGGATGCGTGACCTTCCCACACGAGCTTGGGCCGGCAACGGCTGGCTGCTCGTGGAGGACGGCATGATGAAGCTCTCGCCGACCGGCGGGGGCTCCGCCATGCAGGGCCTCGAGATCTTCGAGTCCGTGGGCTCCGTCCCGGAACCTGGCGAGCCGAAGTCTTCGGAGCCATCCAGCGGGGCCGAGCCGCGAGCCGAGCAAGGCCAGGTCGTCACAAGGACTTTCCGAGGCCTGGAGCGCCAGAGCGGCATCCAGGGAATCAGCTGGCGAGCAGCCATGTCAGAATGGCGAGTCCAATGGCGAGTTCGCTGTAGGGAAGGCAACAGAGGGAGAGCTCGCAGCTTCCCCATCTCCAAGCACATGAAGCTGGGCCTCAGCGAGGCCGAGGCCGAGGCGGCGGCGCTGGAGGAGGCCAAGGCTTTCCGCGAGGAGCTCGTGCACCAGGGGAAGCTGAAGCCGCCGAAGCCCGTGACGGAGAAAGCCCGTGGCTCCACGGTGAGGGGCCTTCACTACAACGAAAGCACCAGAACCTATCAGGTGCGGATGACTGACCCCTCCACCAAGAAGAGGGTCCACGGTGGCATGTTCAAGGTGAAGGAGGAGGCCGAGGCCCGGGCTCGAGAGCTGGCCAAGGAGTTGGGAGTGGAATCCGAGGGCGGAGTGGTGCCGGTGAAGCCGCTCTCGGAGCTCCCCAACTTCGAGCCGCTCGGACCAGAGAAGGGAATCAGGTGGGTGCCTGGTGAGCAGGCCTGGCATGCTCGACATCGGAACGCATTCGGCAAACGGGACCACATGAGGTTCCGCCCGAAGGGCTTCTCGGCAAAGGAGGTGGAGAAGGCCTGGAAGCAGGCGGTCGCCTGGCGCAAGCAGCAGGAGAAGGAGATAGAGCAGGCTGCACAGTCCCGGAAGCGCTGAGGAGCATGTGCAGGAACTTACACAAGTTCTGTTTCGGTGGATTCTCTTGTTTTGGACGCATGTTCAGGGCGAGCTTCATGTCCAAAGACTGATGTTGTCATAGATGATATATGTTGAATGTAAGGCATCATCCATTTACGAGTTTTCCATGGCACGCCAGTTTCCGATGTGGTGTCTTACTCGCTCTGTGCATGTGTGCAATGCACTCCCATGTGCACCACACACAAATCATGCGCGCGTGGATCTCATCACGCCTCGCACTGCAGTCGAAGGCCTTCTTCTGTACTCCGTCGAAGTCGTAGATATGTGCGACCACATGCTTCATCTCCTGCGTGCTCTCCTACGTCGAAAAAGCAGCCAGCATTCTCCTACAAGAATGTCCCGCGACCCCACACCTTATCTGTCTGTCGATCTATCTGTCTCTTTATCTATCTTTCCATCAATAAACCTATCCTGTCTACCTAGCGTCCATCCGTCTACCTGTCTATTAGTCGTCCTGTCTATATATGCATCTATCTATCTATCCGTCTGTCTTTCTGTAGTTATCTAGCGCTTACCTCATTTATTCGTGATTCTTTTATTTACAACTGTCTGTAAGTTACACATACAAACCACGAGCAACCCCCCAACGTAGGTTTAGTTGAGTACGCAGTCCGCGCATGTGCTTTAACACCTGCTACTATAGGAGCCTTAGCAAACGGATAGGGGTTGGGGGAATGTTGCACTAAATCTTCTTTAAAAGGAAAGGCCTCAAGGAATACTAGTCTAGTCACTCAGGCCCATATATTACTTCTCCGTGCTATCCGAGAAGCATTTGTTCTCTGACACGGTCTGGGCCGGACAAAGATCTTTACTTTTCGAGCAAACCTGGATAGGGGCCCGGTTTAACTTTAGGGTACGGGTTGGCTCACAGGTGTGGGTTTAGGTCTAGGTTTTTTGGGGTTTGGGAGTTGCAGTAGTTTTGGGGGTTGGGTCTTTGAACTAACATAGTATCCGCATGCTAGATGCCTCTCGGCTAATCCTGCAGAGCAGACCCCTCTCCTGCGCTAAGCGAAGCCTTAGAAAACTGCCAGGATCCCCAAAACGCTGCATCAGGAAATCAAGCTCCCCCAAACATGACCGAGACTATCGACCAGTTTCAGCCGCGAAGCCCGAAGCCTTAGAAATTCTAAACCCTTACCAGAAAAAGCTTACAAGAACCATCTCATCACCTAGACTCGATACACCCTAAACCCTAAGAAGGGAGCCGGGGTTGGTCTCAGTCTCTTCCAGTTGTGAGCCTCAGAGTTGGTGCACCCTGCAGAAGCCTACCTGTCTTGAGGACTTTACACAAGGAACTCATAATAAAGAAACCTGAAACGGTGTAGGTTACTTGGGGTTGAGGCATAGGACTTTAAAACCTCAGATCCTAAACCCTGAGGGTTTAAGGTTAAGTTTCCAGGGTTCCGGGATTTTGGCCTTGAGCTTTCAAGCGTTATGAGCTTGGAGGATCGATGGGGTTGGGGTGGACCTTGGTAGGTATTGTTACAGAT